TAAACGGACCACAGCCTATGAAGGGACCTGTGAAGTGTCCCAGAGGCCTGCGGGGGAAGGAGGGGAGCCGAACCTTCGGCTCAGCTCACCCTGGTGACTAAGGCCGAAGTGGGAGAGGGTACCTGTCAAAACCAGGTACCCGCCCCTCCCCCCCCCCCCAAAAAAAAGGGGGAGGCAGCTAAGCGGATCTTCAACTTTTGGGTGGAACTCCACTTTAAAGACTAAAAAAAAAAAAAAAAAATCAATCTATGCAGTCATGGGGCCCCAATAGGTATTACAAAAACTGTGACTTTGTAAGAATCAATTTGTTTTCATGTGTAGGCCATTTGAGTCCCTGTGGAAGTCTGGAGGAAAACCTCTCATTTAGTAATCCCCATGTCCTGCCTTTTTGCTAGGACGTAAGCCTGCTCCTTGTTAACAAACGAGTACTGCAGCACAACTGGATGGCTCTTTTTAATTCTTCCAGATTAAAGTATAACCAAAAGCAAAACTTATTTTTTTAGTTTGGGATACAATGGAGATGGATTAGAACACCTCTTAGATTTTTATTGCTGTCTTTCTCAGTTATGGGGATTCACCCTCTCTATTTGTCCGTTATGGGGATCCACCCTCTCTATTTGTCTGTTATGGGGATTCACCCTCTCTATTTGTCCTGTTTACCATTATCATTGAAAGTAAAAGAAAATTCAAAATTTTGGGCAGTGCCCAAGGAATTCTCTTAATGTGCAGAGATTTTCTCTCACTTCAGATCTCCCCAATGGGACACGGATGGCAAATCATATAGGGGTTATAATCCTCCATTCCTCTATCCAAAATTAAAATAAAAGAGTTCTATTTTAAGCTCTGCTGTACAGGGACTGCAAGAGGCAGATACCAGGTCAAAATCAGGTACTTACGCTGCTTGAATTAAAATCACTAAATTAAAACATAGATTAATGAATACAAAAGTGCATTCATTTGTGTTTTATATCTGCCTGGATTTCACCTTTCACGGAGAAGTCTTTACCACCCGAATTTCTAAGCTCACACACTTTCAATGGACTCAGCCACACACATTGGGAAAAAAGGGTAGATGTATTTGTTGCTTATTGTTTGACACAAATTCATCATGTGTTGTGTTTTTAGGGACAGACGCTGGAACTTTTACTCCTGTGAGAAGAGTGTTTGAGCCAAAGAAAATACTGTCCCAAATATGCCAGCAAAATTGGAACTTTAATCACGGATAGTCTTCTGGTGGTGCACCAATTTCTTCTTACTGTGAAATAATCCTGGTGTGTTACACAATGTAATTTGACTTTTAAAATATGATTACTATTTGGTATTCTGTATATCTCCATTTTAACTTGTTCTCCCACCCCAAAAAAAAAAATTGTCCATTTTTTACCTATTACTCAGGCAGGAGTTGCATTGAATTTTTGGAATAGGGGCAGTCACACTTATCAATTTTAAATGTGGCTGCAGGAGTGAAGAAACTCCGCCACTGTCAGAGGAGGGCGGTTTGAGGGGGGTACACACTAAATATGGACATAATAGTGCAAACATTGAACTTGGCCTTTAAGCCCTTAATTTTCACATGCAATAAAGATTTTGTGGCAAAAAGTCTCTAGGTTCTGTAATTTCTTTGGTTGTCCACCTTGAACTGTATGTTTGAGATCTCCTCAAAAGTGGGCTGAATGATGGTGAGGTCAGGAGATTGTGATGGCCACTCCAGAACCTTCACTTTTTTTTTCTGCTGTAGCTACTGCCAGGTTGGGTTTGCCTTCTTTTTTTTTTAGGTCATGGTCCTGTTGGAAAGTCCAAGTATGTGCCATACACAGCTTCTAGGCTGAATACAAATTTTCCGCCACCATTTTCTGATAATATGCTTTCCATTCATTTTCACTATACACCCCTAAACCAGTAGAGATCCACTTCCATGTTTCATAGCAGGGATAGCATGTTTCTTTTGATTGGCTTTGTGGACTATCCCTAAGCATAAAACATTGATGGTTTTAAACAGAAAATTCACTTTCATCACTGTAAATTATTTTGGTCCTGATGTTTTGAGGCTTCTGCTTACAGTAAGTAGAATTTGTAAAATGTTGGCCATTGCTGCAGCACCACCATTTTACAAAACTGTCTATCAGGGTATGTAAACCTTTAAGCACAACTGTACACCACACCTAAAACAAGAGGTCATTTAGGTAAAGCAACCACTTATTGTGTAATGGAATGTTGTAGAATCTCATTTGGCAAGGAAGAAGCAAACATTGCACAGGTTGGGCTATTGGGTGATTGATTCCATAGAACAATGGGAGTGGTCTCTTGCAGTCTGCACATCTGACATTAGCCTATATATAACCCATCAGGGGGGGGAAGCTATTATGCAAATCTCTTTATTATTTGTGCTCCATCTTAGCCCTTGCTCTCTCAGTGTGAGAAGACAACTTTCCAGCCAATGGAATGAGGTTAGGCTGAAGGTCTAGAAAAAGTAGAAATTTAAATGACAGACTGGGAGCTGCTACTACTGTCAAAAGTAAATCTATTCCTGACTAATGGCCCATAAATGCTGCACAATAAACAAAGCTTTATTTCACCCGCCATTGCAATCACAAAATGTACCACATTTATCTGCAGCATATTGCATGTTCACGATAAAGGATAATTACACTTGTATTTAGGGTGTAACATGTTAGCAAAGAGCACCTCTATTCCCCCACCCACTTACAGTGTGGGTGGGGGGGGGGGGGGGGAGGGAAATCATCTTCCCACACCCGCTCTACCATTTTTAAAAAGATCTAGACTCTGCTCACACAGCCGATTCATTCATTCACAGCTTTCTGTGACTTAATGAACTACAACTACTATTTGCCACACTGTAGTAGCTGGTGAGTGCTCTCATAGTTCATTGAGAACCAGTAACTGAAGGTAGGGGCAGACCGCTATATTGAGATTCTTAAGGAGCTTGACATTGCACCCACGATCTGCTGATCACAGGAGCAATGCTCTACAGGTTCCAGAAAAAAAAAAAAATTCACTTTTTTTTACCTGCAAAAATATGGGCATTTAACTTTTTTTTTTTAATGTGAGCTTAGCCTTTAAACATAAGGTGTGGTACTCTAGCTGAAAAGGAGGTGGTAATGCAATTCCATGCATGTAAATTCAGAGTTAAAAAAACCACCAACCCAGATGGTGAAATTAAAGTAATACAACATGCAAACCTAAGTCATCTTAATAAAACACCCTAAAGTAATCCACAAAACATCTCTGATCGGGGATCATCCAACTTTTTCATACATCTGTACAATACGAGGATGAAAAGAAAAACACTGGAAGTCTTAATATATTTATTTTCAGTAAGTATCGTGACAGACGTATCAGGAATTACACCTACAAAAAAAAAAAAAAAAAGTAATTAGATAATGGATAAAAGAGAATGAACTTTTCAATGCACACATTCTTACATAAGGCATGTAAAAAGTGCAATTCCTGTGGCTTACATACATACAGAACTAAAAGATCCATCTATAATGAATTGGCATTTAAACCTGATCTCCAGGCTGATAACTAAGGCATAATACAGCACTGTATTCAATATTATAATATTAAATGTATTTATAAATACCCAAATTTGACCTGGTATCAGCCTCTACAATTAAATCAGCCAACAGTGCAGGGATTGCTGTGAGCAGGCAGACAGGTAGGTATGTTTTACTGCAGATGAGACATTGCATGTCTCTTCTGCAATATAATGCTAACCCGCTCACAGTGTATCACAGCAGTAAACTGTATATTAACATTTCTCCATGAAATGTCCTTTGCTGGGGACATAGAAAATAATAAAAAAAAAAGTGCTCTCAGTTCAAGAGCTGACACTGTGCACAGCATGTGGTCCCTCTGGACCATTGGGAACCAATCAGCGAGGTTCTAAATCACGTGACCACTGTCAGCTATGACATAGTGATCAATTGCAGTGTTAATATACAATTCTAGATTAAATAAACTGAAACAAAAACATCAGCCTATAAAAAAAAAAAAAAAAAAAAAAAAAAAAAAAAAAAAAAAAAAAAAAAAACACCCATGCAGGGGATCTTCCCCTCCCCCAACCCCCCTTCCCCCGTGCTGAATGGGTAAAATGCCTGTCAAGTTTAGGCATGCACAAATATGGTATAATACCTTATTCCTTGCTCCAGCATAGTCACCCAAAGCCTTCCCTCTAAGAGGCTTCCACCACAGTTGCACTCTTTCCTTTTCTACATACAATGCAGGGTTACATTTTCCTACACCGCAGTTTCAAGGGAAGGAGGAGAGTGCCACATTACACTGAGCAGCGGTTAGGATAACCAATACAGCCTGTTTCTCTAACCTTTATACATAAGAATTTAGCCCTTTGCAGTATGAAGATGTGGAGGGGAAGCCCACTAGAAGGGTAGATCTTGTTTAATAATTTTTATTGCACTTTTATAATGAGCTTTCTTTGGGGAAAATGTTAAATTAGTGCCTTTAATTCCACTTTAAATTGAAAGGTCAAATGGCCTTAAAAAATATATTCTGTACATATTCACATTATAAGAGCTATTACTAAATTAACCAACTCGACCAACATTTGCCTGTGCATCTAGGCACAAATAACCTCTGGTCATAAAATCATTAATACAAGTATCTCAGATCAGAAGTGCTTATTTAAATACTACACTTCTGCTTTAGAAGCCTAGAGGTGAGATACAAAACAATACAAATTTTACAAAATCCTGTATCAGAACATATTTCTTCTACCGTGCTATGCCTTAGCAGGGGAACCGCCAGGCCTACAGTGGTAGAGGTCATCTCAGTGCAGCCCGTGTCCTTTACAGTGAGAGAATGGACACTGAATTGAACAAGCCTTCCAATTTCCTGCGTGATCATTGGAAATCACACTTTACTCTAATTGCAAGGTTTTATTATGGCAGCTGAAAGGGTTGATGGAGAATAAGTGGGCTCCGCACAATCCAGACATATAGGCATCTATATCATAACAGCATTTAGTGCATCAGTAAAGAAAAGAAGCATGATGTACCTACTGTGATCACAGATCTACTCTTCATCTTCTGGAGGGATGCCCAGCTCTTCATCTGTCCATTTAGAAGGGTCAGGATAAGGAAAGTGACCCTGAAAACAAAATATATTACTAAAGCAAGCAACCGATCACAGGCTATTCAAAGCACTGATCCAACCAGGCAATGGGACTGCTCCCTGAATTCAGTTATACCACAGAATTTTTTAAAGTGTACAATATTACAGCCTTCCAGTCCTTAAAGAAGACTCCCTCTCTCCCCCCGCCAATCCCCCTTACCCATTTTGCTGGGTTCACTTAAAAGGAAAAAAAAAGGCACACTTATCCAGTGTTGTCCTCCTCTTCACGTGTGACAGCCTGTGTCCCGCTCTGCCATTTTGGTCCTCCTCAGTTGGCCGCTAACAGGGGTAGATAGGCATAGGACTAAAGTCTAACTGTAGAGTTAAGGTGTTTTTAAACCCTCCATGTAAAACATGGTATATAGTAGTATAGTACAGCACTTAAGCTGGCCGTATATTGCTCAAATTTCAGCCACTTTTCTGTTGAATCAGGGGAACTTGGAGCTCTCAGCAGGCCCAGTCAGCACTCCCTGGCTCAACAAGCTTCCAATGAAAAGACGAAGGAGCGGAATAGAAAAATGTTGGCTTGGCAGTGTCTGTATCCAATCACCGCCTTTCCCAGGGAGAGTCCCAGAAGAGGCTACCTCCGGGGGAGAAGACAATTGGACGATCCTGGCCGCCATCCTGTAATATCTGCTCACCAACACTTATAGCCGCACATCGGTCAGGAAGGGGTTAAGGTGACCTCAGCCAATCACAGCCAGGCGGAGGAGGTCCAATCACTAGTGTTGGTGATTCAGGCGGATGAGTTCAGCAATCGGCCGAATACTGGGGCCAGCTTCCGGGGTGCACCGCCCTGGCTAATGACTATGGCACTGTCCAGACCATGCTATAAGGAGGTCTTGTGAGGAGACCAATCACACCTTGAAGAGGGTTTAAATAATTCCAACAACGACAGCAACAATCACAGCAGTGACAACACTTGCAGCAACTGTCTTTTGGCTCTTTGTCATTTTTTCCTTTCGGATTTTTATTTTATTCCATTAATGAAAAAAAAAAAAAAAAAAAAAAAAAAAAAAAAGGATGCAAGTGAGTAGAATGCTCCCAGTTGAGTCGCTGACATCAGTAGCCCAACTGCACCCGTGTAACACACTCCGGAACCCTGTATTCTCTGCCTAGGGAGGATTGTGTTTTTCCTGCTGGTGCTGTCCATGGTGGAGAGGTTGCTGGAGTCATCCCTGTAATGCAGCGAGAGGCCAGTGGTGTTCTTCTGGTCTCTATACCATGATTTTTCCGGTGGATGTTTTCCCTACCTGTGGAGGAGCGGGATATATTGCTATGGGCATTTAATAGGCACTTCTGGTGAGTGCATTCAAAAGAATTATCTATCACAGAGTCACTTTTCACCTGTTCATCACGGAGATTTCTTGAACGTTTAATTGATATTCATCTGGATGATCTCATTCATTTATTAATTTTATATTAGACTATTCACCATTGTCACTTTATATTAACTTTTTGATATCACTTTCTCGCTGTCATTTAGCGTGACACATATGCATCACTAATCCCAGAGCGCCTCACATTCAGTTTGTCACTATTGTCACTTTATTTACTAGCACCTTGGTTATTTAGTATTTTATAGCACTGCATTTTACGTTTTTACATGCTTTTGAGGATATAGGGGTTCATCCTTTCATGCTAGCTGCTTTGTGTGAGTCCGTGCGCTCGCTTTTTGCCTTTATTTTATTATTATTCAGGATTTATATAGCGCCAACAGTTTGCTCAGCACTTTACATTATAACGGGAGACAATACAGTAACAATACCGTTCAATACAAGAGGGATAGGAGGGCCCTGCTCCTTGGAGCTTACATTTTATTCAGAAACCGTGATTGTATGAACAGTCAGACAGCAGCCTCTGCCTGAAAACAATGTCCAGCTTTGAACATTCCTACATCCACATTGTTTAGAGTAGATGCGGCAATCAAGTGATGTCCTTCATTCAGCCTACAGGGCTGAACAAGACAAATCCTAATAAGTATAGCTAGCAATGTTTGGGGTCTGCCTTGTGATGCGTCTGATTTCTTAGTAGTACCCCTAAGAAATGTCCATATCGTTAGTTTCTGTGTTACAAGTGACTTAGCTGACTTGCAGGGTCCCCTGGGGCCACATCTCAGCCACCCTTACATTTGCATCCCTGCCTGCTGTGGGTGACGAGACCAGAAATCACTCAGGACAGACATCCATGCTCTTATGAGGAGTGCTATGTATAATGGGACATATCCTCTAATTTTCTGCACAACACTGGGGTTGATTACAAGGCAAGCCCACCTCCCTGCCACATTTTATGCCGCTGGCTGTGCTCCTCCCTATACTGGAGCTCTCCACCTGGGGACGCCAGTGCAGAAATGCCACCAACAGAGTACCACAGTGATATCAGAACCTGTTTAGTTGTTGAACTATTCAGCATCTACTAAAAACTGAAATATGAGCTTGGGGGAGACTGACCATGAAATACAGAGGTGAATAGGAAAAAGCCAAAAAGGGGGGTGCAAGCCTTCACATCCTTGGACCGTGGGGTTTAACCATGCTCTACTGTGATGAAACAACATTTATATGTCTAGAAAAAAATATAAAAAAACACTTACAAAAACAGTAGATGGCTCATGCCAAAAATGCCACAGGAGCCAAAACCACATAAAGCCACCGAGCATCTCTGATTGGATAAACTGTGACTTGTTCCCCTGCTTAAGTTGTCTGTAGCTAACTTCTGCATGGTCTCCAGCTCTGCAAAAGAGAAAACAATTTACATTAAAAATTAACCAGTTCTCTGGGGAAAGTCAAGGTCCACTTATCATGTAGGCCTCCACCCCAATGGGAAAAAAAAAAACCAAAAAAAAAAAAAAACCAAACACTTCACTTTTAACTTTGAAGCAATTTACACTCTAGGAATCATGCACAAAGGCATAAAAAACAACTGAAATGTATCCAGGATGTTGTTGGCAGGCACAATCCTGTGTTAAAAATAGTCTGTACTGCAAAACATTTACTTGGTATTATTATTATACAGGATTCATATAGCGCCAACAGTTTGCTCAGTGCTTTACAATATAAAAGGGAGACAATACAGCAACAATACAGTTCAATACAAGAGGGTTAGGAGCTTACAATCTAGGAGTAGTGCATATTACCTGTGCATGTGTTATATTTACCCAGACCGATCAGCCATAACATTATAACCACCCACCTAATATTGAGTAGCTAGCAAAACAGGCCTGATCCGTAAAAGCATGGACTCCACTAAACCTCTGAAGGGACACCATGCGATCAGAAAACACCCCTTTCAGCCGTAGGCCGAAACGAAAAAAAAAAAAAAAAAAAAAAAAAAAAAAAAAGCAAGCACCGATGCAGGTGCCGAAAAAAAACCCGCCACTCGGCAGTTGTCAGCCTTACCTGAGAAACCAATGAACAATCCCGGAGCTGGGCATAGAGATGAGTGAAGGAAAGATGGCCTCCACTCATCTCTATGCCCTTGGAGGACCGGAGCAATGTCACTTACGGTTCCGACCAAAACAAACAATTTCCTTTACCAATTGCTGCACCTGCTGTCAGCGATGTATACACTTTATGTAGAATCAGCTACGACAGAATACAGCAATATGTCCCAGCAGCAGTACAGAGCCTATTTGACCCTATCCCACAAAAAAATTGAGGTGAGCCAAGCACTACCCAACCATTCAGAACAAGCCTTGTATTTTTATGAAAAAATACAAAGACTTCCTCTGGTTGCCTAGAGGAGGAGAGGGAGGCAGATGACATCATGATCTCCACAATAGCAAATCAGGGGAAGCCTCCTCACTGCCTGTTTTAACCACTTGCCCTCCAAAGGATTTACCCACCTGACCCATTTTTTTCAATATGGTGCAGCGTCACTAACTGACAATTGCGCAGTCATGCAACGTTGTATATCAAATTAAATTTCTGTAAATTTTTCCCCACAAAGTGTGTGTGTGTTTTCACTTGTGCATTTTTTTTTTGAGCTATAAACCAAAAAAAATTACAGTATTTTTTACTTTTTGCTATAAAACATGTCCAATTAAAAAAAAAATAATTTCTTCATAAATTTAGGCCACAATGTATTCTGCTACATGTCTTTGCTAATAGAAAACATCTCTATGTGTAAATTAAAAAAAAAAAATTAAGTCCACGGAAGTGCAAAAAAAACTAAAACCCATAAGTGTACAAAAAACATGCAAGTGAAAAAACACAAAAAAAGTACACTTAAGGGTGTGTTTTTGTCCACTTTCCCCAGAGGGGTAGGACCTCTGCCTTCATCCCCTGGGGCACAAGGCTCAAGGACAAAGGGTTTCCAACATGGTCCACCTAGCCAAAAGGCCTGGTGGACCCCTTTCCTTGTGGGTGGCCAAAGCCAACCACCAAGTACTAGCTCAGGGAGCTCTCCTGAAAAGATATCCCCCCAGTAACAGGGGAGGAAAGAACCTAATGGCCACGCATCCTCCCCTAGACTTCAGGGCAGGTCTGAGGACCCACACTCTCCATTAATTGGTTTTCGTGAAAGTTATAGCATCTACAAAAGGCGGTATATATAGTGGTATTTTTTTTTTTTTTTTAAATAGTAGTAATGGCAGCGATCAGTGACTTACAGCGGGACTGCAGCGGGCATTCTGACACTGGGGGGGAACTAACTGCCACTGACATCCCCAGTGACACTAATACAGTGGTCAGTGCTAATAAAATGCACTGACACTGTACTAATGACACAGGGCAGGAAGGGGTTAACATCTGGGGCAATCAAAGGGTTAACTGTGTGCGGTGTTTGTTTTACTAGGGAGACATGAAAATTATATATACAGTGAAGGAAATAAGTATGTGATCCCCTGCTGATTTTGAATGTTTTCCCACTCACAAAGAAATGATTAGCCTAAAAATTGAATGGTGGGTGTATTGTAACACAGACAGAATAGCAACAAAAATTTCAAAAGAAATGCATATCTAACAAATGATGCACTGATTTGCATGTTCATGAGAGAAATAAGTATTTGATCCCCTTCACAAAACATGACTTAGTACTTGGTGGCAAATCCCTTGTTGGCAATCACAGAGGTCAGACGTTTCCTGTAGTTGGCCACCAGGTTTGCACACATCTCAGGAGGGATTTTGGCCCACTCCTTTCGGCAGATCCTCTCCAAGTCATTAAGGTTTGGTGGCTGACGTTTGGCAATTCGAACGTTCAGCTCCTTCCACAGATTTTCAATTGGAATAAGGTTTGGAGACTGGCTAGGCCACTCCAGGACCTTAATGTGCTTCTTCTTGAGCCACTCCTTTGTTGCCTTGGCCATGTGTTTTGGGTCATTGTCATGCTGGAACCCCCATCCACAACCCATTTTCAATGCCCTGGCTGAGAGAAGAAGGTTCTCACCCAAGATTTTACGGTACATTGCCCCGTCCATCGTCCCTTTGATGCGGTGCAGTTGTCCTGTCCCCTTAGCAGAGAAGCACCCCCAAAGCAGAATGTTTCTACCACCATGTTTAACAGTTGGGATAATGTTCTTGGGGTCATAGGCAGCATAACTCCTCCTCCAAACTCGGCAAGTTGAGTTGATGCCAAAGAGCTCAATTTTGGTCTCATCTGACCACAACACTTTCAACCAGTCCTCCTCTGCATCATTCATATGTTCAGTGGCAAACTTCAGATGGGCCTGGACATGTGCTTTCTTGAGCAGAGGGAACTTGCGGGCACTGCAGGATTTTAATCCTTGTCGGCATAGTGTGTTACCAATTGTTTTCTTGGTGACTGTGGTCCCAGCTGCCTGGAGATCATTGACAAGATTCTTAGTGTAGTTCTGGGATGATTCCTCACTGTTCTCATGATCATTGACACTCCACGAGGTGAGATCTTGCATGGTGCACCAGACCTAGGGAGACTGACAGTTGTTTTGTGTTTCTTCCATTTGTGAATGATTGCACCAACTGTTGTCACCTTCTCACCAAGCTGCTTGGCGATAGTTTAGTAGCCCAGTCCAGCCTTGTGTAGGTCTACAATCTTGTCCCTGACATTCTTGGACAGCTCTTTGGTCTTTGCCATGGTGGAGAGTTTGGAATCTGATTGTTTGATTGCTCCTGTGGACAGGTATCTTTTATACAGGTAACAAAATGAGATTAGCAGCACTTCTTTTAAGAGGCTGCTTATAATCTCAGCTTGTTACCTGTATGAAAGACACCTGGTAGCCAGAAATCCTGCTGAATGATAGGGGATCAAATACTTATTTCCCTCATGAACATGCAAATCAGTGCATAATTTGTTAGACATGCATTTCTTTTGAATTTTTTGTTGCTATTCTGTCTCTCAGTGTTACAATACACCTACCATTTGATTTTTGAGACTGATCATTTCTTTGTGAGTGGGCAAACATTCAAAACCAGCAGGGGACCAAATACGGATTTCCTTCACTAATATATATATATATATATATACACACACACATATACATACACACACACACACACATATATATACACATATACATACACACACACACATACTCGTGATTTTGCGCAGCCCTGCTGCCTTGTAGCAGTGCTACTGCTATAGGGTGGAGGGCAAGTGGTTAAACTGTGTGTCCCCCTCCTCACTGCCCGTTTTATTCCTTAAAAGCCTACACCACAACCATATGAACTGTATGCAGTTGCAGTGCAGCCCTTTTCAGGCGAAAGAGTTGAGTATCACCCACCGAACATGACAGAGGGATAGTTTTTGCCACACTGCAAAGCATCTCAGCTGTGGCATGTGTGCAGCCATATCCACTTGTCTTTGCAGCTTAAAGGGGGAGGTGTTGGGAGGGCAGCAAGAACACACAAACGTTTGCCCACTCCCCACCATTAAGTGCTATAGGGGTCCTTGGACCACACATGGGACAGAGGAGCCCAGGAACCATGCTGGGGGTGTCTGTGGAAGCAAATATCCTTTTCTCCGCCACTGATGTTTGTCACATGTCAGCAGGAGGTTTTACACACACTTCTAACTGCTACAGCCACTGGATCACTTCCAGCTGACAGTCAGCTTGTCACGTGTGCACTCAGCTCCTGTATTGGTCAGGAGTGTAAGTGTGTAGAACCCCCCACCCACCTTGTTCCTCCTGACATATGACACATGGTGGCAGGAAAGGCATGGAAAGCTGCTGCACACAGGAATATACATTTCAAGATTCTTGCCAAGTTTTGAGCACAACTGTACATTCCACAAGGACTTCTCCATACTAGGCCCCACACAGGGACTGTCCCTGGAAACCAAGCCTGGGCCCACAGAGAACCTGTCACTTCCCCCACATGGGGCTCTATGGGGCCCACCAGACTAGGGTTGCTACCTCATCCCTTTAAACCCGAACACATTAATTACACAGGTTATGAGGCTAATTTAGTGCAGATAAGACACTAGGCGAGTTTAACCCCTTTGCGCCCACGCCAACAACCCTTTAAGGGGTTTCTGACACCAGGAGGCAGAGCATGGTTTAGGGTCATGTGACTGCCATGACTGGCTGTCACATGATCAGAAAGGTCCCAATCACAAGTAGAGATCGGGACCTCTCCATGGGATACCGACACATTTGCTGGGAGTGCGCTCTCAGCACGTTTCTTTACAAATGGTACGTAAACATGCAGCCGCTCGTTGTCCAGGCCCAGCAGCTGAGAGGCCACATATTTGCGTACTCTGGCTGTGAAGAGGTTAATTACCACCTTAGTCAGCCCAGAACATGTGTAATTAATGTGTTCAGGTTTAAAGGGATGAGGTGGCAACCCTACAGCAGACACACTCGCAAGGCATGCTGGAAACTCTAGTCCTCCCGTCACTCACTGGCGGACCCCAGTCTGCCTCCTCGCCGCAGCCCTGAACAGGCATCCTCCGGCCTTCAGGGCTCCACCGAGTCGGACCAGCGACGCCATGACACCGGATCAATGTCACCTTTCAACTGAGCTCGCTGATTGGCCCACACTACTGCGGGCGAATCCACTATCACACGAGAGGGGGGGGCATCTCATTTCCAAAACCAAATGACCGCATTAAAAACAACTTTTGCCGTCACAACTCCCAGCAACATGATATCATTAAAACGCGTTTACTGACCTATCGATTTATTTATAGACTTACACTGCTCCGGAATAGAAAAAAAAAACGTGTCTAAGTCTAATGTCTAAACTATACCTGTTATGTGAATAAAGCGGCATTGAATTAATAAGCAACCGCATTAAATTTTGTGCAGAAATCACAATAACAGCCGCTTTCAGACTGAAGTGACACCCCTCTAGTTGGGGTGGTAGGACCGATTGCCATGGTTTTCAGGAACGCAGCGACAACACACGGCGCATGTGCAGGATTCTACTAGATCACACGGAAGGGGTGATTATATTATTTGCAATAAAAAGTATCTACATTACAATTGTTTTAATGCCACAACACCCCCCAAAAAAGAAGAACATTTGAGGTAATTTATTAAGGTATAGTTTTATTAAGAGAACAGAACACTGGTTAGATAATGAGAGAAGGGAAGCGGACGGATATTAATCTAGTAGCTAGCTTTACCTGTGTATTTATAGAATAAACGAGTCTAAGTGTAATTTATATACGTATCTCTGTGCAGAAATGACAACTAACAGTTTATATGAATATCTGCCCCCCCCATCACCGTGTGATGGTACAGTCAGTTACCATAGTTTCCATGTAAACAGTCCCCTACACAGAGAACACGTGGTCTCAGTACTGGGCACATCCATTCCAGCTGCAGGTGAGTTAGTGGAGATGTTACTAACTGTTTGTGGGCAGCACAGTGGCTAAATGGTTAGCACTTCCATCTAGGGTTGTTGGTTCAAATCCCAACCACAGCACCACCTGCCTGGAATTTGCATGGTCTCCCTGTGCCTGTTTGGGTTTTTGGGCGTTAATATCCACTTTAAAGGGCTATTAAACCCAAAAACAAAATGTTTGCAGCTTACCAATTCTTAAATGTGATGCCTGCATTAATCTTTTTTTCTCTATTTTTACCTGGTGATCCAGCCAGTAAGTCTGTTATTTTTATACTTCCTTTAACAGACCAAACTGTCCAAAGGGGTGGATTTTCTAAAACTGGAGCGCTTAGAATCTGGTGCAGCTGTGCATGGTAGCCAATCAGCTTCTAATTTCAGCTTGTTAAATTAGGCCTTGGCAAAAAAACCTGGAAGCTGATTGGTTTCTATGCAGAGTTGCACCTGTCCAGTTTTAGTAAATAACCCCCACAGTGTCAGAGCAGGGGTCTCCAAACTTTATAAATAACGGGCCAGTTTACTATCCTTCTAACTTTCATGGGGCCAGACTGTGGCCAGTGGGAGAAGAAAATATCCTGGCATCAGTCAGAGGAAACAATGCTCCATCATTTGTATTAGGGGGAGTAATAGTGCCCCATCAATGGGAGGAATATTGCCCCATCATTGGTGTCAGTGGAAGGAATAGTGCCCCATTGCGCCAGTCATAGGAATAGTGTCCCATCATTGGTGTCAGTGGGAGGAATAGTGCCCCATCGTTGGTGTCAATGGGATGAATAGTGCCCCATCGTTGGTGTCAGTGGGATAAATAGTGCCCCATCAATGGTGTCAGTGGGAGGAATAGTGCCCCATCAATGGTGCCAGTGGGAGGAATAGTGCCCCATCAATGGTGCCAGTGGGAGGAATAGTGCCCCATCAATGGTGCCAGTGGGAGGAATAGTGCCCCATCAATGGTGTCAGTGGGATGAATAGTGCCCCATCAATGGTGTCAGTGGGAGGAATAGTGCCCCATCAATGGTGTCAGTGGGAGGAATAGTGCCCCATCAATGGTGTCAGTGGGAGGAATAGTGCCCCATCATTGGTGTCAGTGGGAAGAACAGTGTCCCATCATTGGTGTCAGTGGAAGGAATAGTGCCCCGTCATTGGCAGGAATAGTGCCCCATTGCGCCAGTCATAGGAATAGTGTGCCATCATTGGTGTCAGTGGGAAGAATAGTCCCCCATTGTTGTTGTCAGTGGGATGAATAGTGCCCTATTGTTGTTGTCAGAGGGAGGAATAATGCCCCATCGTTAGTATTAGTGGGAGGAATAGTGGCCCATTGTTGGCATCAATGGGAAGAATAATGCCCCATCATTTTTGTCAGTGGGAGGAATAGTGCCCCATTGTTGGCACTTGTCATAGGAATAGTGTCCCATCATTGGTGTCAGTGGGAGGAATAGTCCCCCATCATTGTTGTCAGAGGGAGGAATAGTGCCCCATCATTGTTGTCAGAGGGAGGAATAGTGCCCCATGGTTAGTGTTAGTGGGAGGAATAGTGCCCCATCATTGGTATTGGTGGGAGAAATAGTGCCCCATTGTTGGCACTTGTCATAGGAATAGTGTCCCATCATTGGTGTCAGTGGGAGGAATAGTCCCCCATCATTGTTGTCAGAGGGAGGAATAGTGCCCCATGGTTAGTGTTAGTGGGAGGAATAGTGCCCCATCATTGGTATTGGTGGGAGAAATAGTGCCCCATTGTTGGCATCAATGGGAAGACTAATGCCCCATCATTTTTGTCAGTGAGAGGAATAGTATCCCATCATTGGTGGCAGTGGGAGTATGTACCCCACTGTCGGTGTCAGAGACAGGTAGTATGGGCAATAATGCCCCAAGGGCTGGATAAAGGCATGCAAAGGGCCGCATCTGGCTCTCGGGCCGCAGTTTGGAGACCACTGAGTTAGAGGATCAGCTCTTATTCATTATATAAAACCTTTAAACCTAAAGGAAAAAAAAAAACCTGTTGCTGTAACTACTTAAAAAGTGTTAACTGGAGTTCCCCTTTAAAACATAATAATCCCACCAATTTAAAGCGGTAATAAACCCATCGATTTAATGGTTTTAAAAAACAGTTTATTTCCCGACATGCCAGGAATGCTGTCACATTTGCCACATTTGCTTGTGCTCTCAACCAAACTGTCAAACCATCAAATGGCTGGTGTTGTAACTGTTCAAATGTTAACTCATCACATTTCCCCAAAGTTAAAGTGGAACTTTATCCATGACAACTTGATAAAAAGTAATGTTCTTTAGCAAGGAGCATACATTCCGCATGAATAATTATGCTACCAGAATGAGTGTGCTGTAAATTGCCCTTAACATTGCTCCTGTTTCATCTTGCTGGAGGCTGCCATTTTTCGGAAACCCAGAGCCTGAACAGGAATAGATCATGAAGCAGAACTAAACCCATTGATTTAACAGTTCAGAAAACAGTTACATTCATGGAATGCCGAGATTGATAACTGTCACATTTGCTTGTGTCCTCAACCAAACTGTCAAAACATCAAATGGCTGCAGTCATAACTGATCACGTGCAGCACCATAGCAGTTGCAGATCAAACAGAAGCAGCTTCCTAGGCTTTAAAGGATAGGGGGGGTTTAATTCTGCTTTAACCACTTCCTGTCTGGACACTTTTACCCCCTTCCTGTCCAGGGCAATTTTCAGCTTTCAGCGCTATCACATTTTGAATGACAATTGCGCGGTCATGCAACACTGTATCCATATTAATTTTTTACCATTTTTTGAGACAGATAAAGCTTTATTTTGGTGGTATTTATTAATTGCTGGGATTTTTATTTTTTTTGCTATGTAAATGAAAACGTCCAAAAATTTTGAAAAAAAAGTGTTTTTCTTATAAAATTATGCAAATAAATAATCTTTCATCATAAATATTGGCCGAAATGTATTCTGTTATCTTTTTAGTAAAAAAAAAAATAAGCCAAATTAGTTGATAACCAAAAATTATAATTTTTAAACTTTTTTTTACATTTTTTTTTTTATATATTATTATTTATGGTTTTTTTTTTTTACATACTGTCACCCTAGCAGTACAGTGTCACCATGGTGAAACTGTACTACTTGTGGGGGGTGATGAAGATTTTTTTTTTTTTTTTTTACAGTGATTGCTTTTACACCCATATAGGATGTAAAAGCAATCATTTCTCTTTCTCTCTGTCTGCATTCTTGCAGCCATTGAGAACTACTGAGTGAGCTGTGATTGGTCACAACTTGTCACATGGTACAAGACTGTTGTGAATAGCCCTGTACCATGTGACCTCTGTGATCATTCACAGATTTCACATGTAGTAAGCAATGATGTCAGAAGTGACATCTTGCTTGCTACTTTGCATGTGATCACTGATTGGCCAATCAGCGATCACATGAACGGGACCTTGTACAGAGGTCCCGTCCGACGATCGGTGTTTCACTGTGTCCGGAGGACACAGCGGGCAGGGAGCGCGCACAGCTAGAAATGGCGGGTGCCGTTTATGAATGGCAACCCGCCCCTGGAGTGCCACCGTCCTGCCGTTTATAAACAGCAGGCGGACGGCAAGTGGTTAAGGCTGTCAGCAGATTGGGTTTTACAGGTTCACCAGTGCCTAAAATGCATAAAAATGGAGAGCAACTGAGCATGTGCAGAGCAGGGTGGGACAGTGTATTACTGGATTTTTAAACAGTATAGATACTTATTTTTAATGTTTTACATAGCTGTACCTGCAAAAGGGGCCAACCTGAAGTGATCTAGCAGGACTTCATTTTCTGACTAAAGTTTCACTGTAACCACTTGCCTGCTGGGCACTTTTACCCCCTTCCTGCCCAGGCCAATTTTCAGCTTTCAGCGCTGTCGCACTTTGAATGACAATTGCGCAGTCATGCAAAACTGTTCCCTTATGAAATTTTTATAATTTTTTTCACACAAATAGAGCTTTCGTTTGGTTGTATTTAATCGCCACTGGGTGTTTTATTTTTTGCGCTATAAACAAAAAAAAGCAAAAATGGGAAAAAAGTTTTTTTCTTTGTTTCTATTATAAAATTTTGCAAACAGGTAATTTTTCGCCTTCACTGATGTACATTGATGAGGCAGCACTGATGGGCACTGATGAGGTGGCAT